GTCTGTGGACTAGAAGGTCACCCTCAGCTGCACTGGAATCAGCAACAATGTTGGGTCGTATTAGGTGGGCTGGTACCCACAGATTCCCCACCGTGTCCCCAAAGCTGAGATGCTCAGAAGCACTAGGCCCTCCGGGATCCCACCCGGGTTCTCGAGAACAGGGCCTCTCTGATCATCTCGGGCCTGTGGCCTGAGGACGAGGCTGGTCATTACTGACACAGTGCTCTAAGCCCGTGGGCAAATGATACAGCAACGTGCCCCAGTTTCCCATGGTCACTGCCAGTGACAAACAAACAGGGAGACCGTGGACACCCTGGAGGGTGTGAGGGTCTGACTCTCTGAGCACAGAACAACTATGAAGAGTCAGTGACAGTAGCTTCCCCTCGTGTGGTTTTCTTCTAAAAATAAGACAAATCTTTTAAGATAATTTACAGGCATAAAGTCTAGTCATATAAATGGTACGATGATTCAGTGGTCTGTAGTATGTTTCCTGAGTTTGGCGAACATCATCAGGATCAAATTGACAACATTTCCATCACCTGCAGAAAAACCCCTGACCCCCGAGCAGTGAGTCCATGGCCCCCCTGCACTCAGCTCTTTGGAGCCAAAAATTCCTTTCTGTCTGCAGTGATTTTCCTGTTGTGCACATTTCACAGGTGCCGAATCACACCACGTGCCCCCGGAAGCGCACCTTTCAGTGGCATCAGCGTGTGCATTGTTGTAGGAACATCATGGGCACCATATTTAAGGTGGGACCATACTAAGGGAACGTTTCATCCTTTCATCTAGAGACGTGCTCATCTTGTGCAGAGGACACGCGGATCTATCTAGATGGCTGCAATTTTAATAGAGGCTGTTGAAATAGCATAATTATTTTCCATGATGGTGTGTAATCACAGATTCTTTTTTAAAAGTTTATTTTCCGATGGCTATTGTCCCCCATTGTCATTTTTTATTTTGTAGATTTCTGCATATTGCAATTTTGTTCAATAATTTAGCCGGTGTTGTTTATTATTATGAAAAATAATATTATGTGCTACGGTCCATATTTCAAGTTTTTGTCTCATACATTTTTCCTTTCCTTGTGGTGGGGTGTGGGCTCTGTGGCCTTTCTCTTTTTCCCATTCCCTCATGCCCGGCAGACTCTACATGTCTCCTCCCCACTCTTTTTCCTTAGTGAGATGTTTCCAGAGCGTCCTTCCTGATTTGGGTTTCTCACCCATCTGCCCACAGCACTGCATCTGAGACCTCCCGTTTCACTATTGCTCGCCCTGGATGCCCATCCTGTGGTCAGGGCTTGGGTCTCTCCACTTGCTGTCCTGTGTCTTCACTCTCAGGGGCTTTCTCGAGTGATGGTGGTTCAGACCCACGGCTAGCTTTCCCCTTCTGTCACCCCAGCCTTTTCGGGAACTGACTTCTCTTTCCACTGACGCTCAGGATTTGTGGTGTGAGCCTGGGCGCGAGGCCACCAGGGATTCTTAACAACAGATACCTTTAAAATTATTTCATTTTTTTCTAACTTACTTTGATATAAAGGATGAAAATGAGCAAAGATAATTTTAAGAAAACTGTTACTTAATATTTGTCTGAAATTTCTTATTAATAGACTTAAATGTCACTAAAACCACAGGTAGAGAATAGAGAGAAGAAGGCAGGTTTCCAAGTTAAGGGATGAAATATATTACTTAGAAGTGATGGAGCTACTTTGAGTTCTCTCCTTGGTGAGGTACAGGCAGAGGCTTCAGCAGATGCTGTCACACAAAGGAAACTTTATTTGCCATAGATAAGGGGATCAGGGACAAGAATTATCAAAGCTGTGACTCCCTGAGTGGAGGCGAGTGGGTTCCTTTCATTCAGGGTTAGGATGGATACCCAGAAAAGGGAGTTTTGTCATCTTATGCAAGAGTGGGCACGAGGTTGTGCAGGAATATGGAGCACAGGAGCTTGTGTCCCCATCGTGCGGTAGGTCAATGAAGCTTGTCCTCCTCCTAGGGCAGAGACTTAACGTTATAAAGAGGCAGAGGTCCCTGGAGGACACTCCCTGGTCCATCTGCACTGGTGGAGCTGTTGCAGGAGATAAAACTGGTCTAGGCTCCCAGGCTCTTTCTGCTGTTTGCCTCTGAAATAGATGAACTTCCTGTGAAAAGAAGTGGTGTCAGTGGGGGTCCTGCTGGTGACTGTTTTAACCTCATTAACCTGTGGGGCAAGGTTTCAATCCTGCAAAAACAACTCAAGCATGTGCTTAGGTCAAAGTTTACTTTTGTTCCTGGGCTGGGACTTTTCCCTCTGGGTCATTGTCTCTGAAGCACTCAGGCTATTTCCTGGCCTGGTGGAGACTGGTAGGTTGGCATCCCCTTTGTTCTCCTCAAACCCTGAACTCCTGACCTTGTTGCATTCCTGTTTTCTTTTCCTCCCAGGAAAGTGCTCGGTATGGGTGCTGGGCAAGTAGAACCTGCAGGGCACAGACCACAGAAAATAGCTGGGGGCCTCCAATGAGTGCTCTTGGGGCAGGAAAGCTGTCTCCTCTTTATATACAGAGATTGTTTTCCCACCTGGGGACCCCTTCAGTTCTGCTTTCAGACGGCTCAGGGTATTTAGTTTAAAAGCATTGTGCTAACAAGCGGCCCTGGGCGGCTTAGTCAGTTAAATGTCGGACCTCAGCTCAAGTCATGATCTCCTGGTTTGTGATTTCAATTCCCAAGTCCACCTGTCTGCTGTCAGCAAGGAGCCTGCTTTGGATCCTTCATCCCCCCTCTCTCTGCCCCAACCCTGCCCTCTCGCGCGCTCTCTCTCAAAAATAAATAAAAATTTAAAAATATGGCCCTAATAAGGTAATTCAGGAAAGTCATGAGACATGTGTAAAATAAAGTTTGTATTAATTATTTCAATAATAATTTCAGTAATAACGAGACCTTGTTATATGCTAAAAACAAAAAGGATTCTTATCATATTGCCAACAATGTCAAGATGCTAATATTATTGTACAGAGAGCTGGTTCCAAATTCAGGCTCTGCTGTTTGCCACTAGAAATTCATTCAATACTTGAGAGACAAGGGATGATGGGAGAGGAATGGGTGCTTCCTCAGGAAGCCAGCAGCCTGGGGAGATGTGGACAAATGTCTCAAAGATCATTTTCTCTGTCTCGGAGAAGTCCTATACTTTCGTACGGGAAGGTGCAGGGAATCGTGGCGGCGGTCCATGGGGGAGAAGCAAGTGTCCATGTGGCTAGTTCTCTGTGGACATGAGCCTGGCAGTGCCAGATCTGGTGACATCATTGGCAGCTGCTCCAAATGTGGTCAGGCCTCGCCTCTGGGAAAGGTCAGTCCTTCACTCCTTCCTCAGGGACAGTGGCCTGCAAATCGCAAGAAAGTAGGGTAGTTCTGTTGCAGATCAAGGGTCTTAGGTCAGCACACAAAGAGAGACTATGCTTGAAACAAGTTCACCGGAGAGACCAGAGGGAGAGCTGTTACGCTGAGATGTGTGAAATGTATATATTAAGGGAATTGTAAACTGTCCTGAAGAATGTGAAAGCATATTTGAAATGGTGAACTGTCGTAGACTCTACGTCTAGAATTCTCTCTTGTCGAACAAGAGAGCGGGACACTGGATGAAAAGCGAGAGATGGCTAATGTCCAGGAAAAGACAAGAGCCCCAAATAAGGGCCCTTTCCCTGTGTTTATCAAGATCAGAAGGCTTACAGATTTGATGGGAGTGCACAAAGAGACAAGGAAATTGTGAACATTCACTTGGGAACGTGAGGGAAAAGGGATTTTGAAGATATACAGTGTTTGGGGTTTTGGTCAATATACAACAAAATCCTGTTACCGGGCAGATGGGCAGATGGTTGTTACCATGGTTGTTAATGGCACCGGCACCGTGTCTGTTTATCTGAGCCAGCCTAGGGGCTAAAGCAGACAGGGGGAGCAACCTCAGGGTTAGGTTAACAAGGCACCTTTTCTTTTGTTAACCATCTCTGCTCTGGGCTGCTTTGCCTGCAGTGCAGCGGTCTGTAGCTCAATTTACCTGTTTATCTAACTTGGTCCTTTCCTCCAGTGAAAGCAGCTTTTCTGCTATAGTACTAAGTTGGAGAGTGCTTCTGCCCTGAATGCCTAATCTGGCTTACCTCATATACCTTTGTATGGGGAGCCTTTGTGCCTGTTCTTATTTTAGGCCTTTTCCCCTCCCTCTCTATTCTGGGGTCTCTGCGGCCCCTTTCTATTCTGGGGTGCCGTTGCACCTCCCTATTCTTGGGATGCCTTTATATCCCCCTAGTCTTGGGGTGCCAATCTGGTTTGCCCAAACTCAGTTGCCGGAGTGCAGCTCCAGGAGATCCAGGGGTTCCGGAAGGATGAACGGCCTTGGCGAAAAAGTGAAAATAAAACAAAACTAAAATAAAAAACTAAAATAGAAACAAAAAATAAAAATGGACACAGACAACAGCAGTGTGTTGAGCTGGCCGATTTATTGCAGTAAATGTGGCATTATATATCCTAGTGATTTCCTTGTAGCGTATGTCAACTATGTTTTTCTAACATTACCTAATTTTGAAAATGTTCCTATATGTAAACAACCTTTAAGAAATAACATGGTGATTTTGCCCTAACTTTCCCGCATACCCTTTGATTAAAGATTAATTTCTTGGGGCGCCTGGGTGGCGCAGTCGGTTGAGCGTCCGACTTCAGCCAGGTCACGATCTCGCGGTCCGTGAGTTCGAGCCCCGCGTCAGGCTCTGGGCTGATGGCTCAGAGCCTGGAGCCTGTTTCCGATTCTGTGTCTCCCTCTCTCTCTGCCCCTCCCCCGTTCATGCTCTGTCTCTCTCTGTCCCCAAAATAAATAAAAAACGTTGAAAAAAAATTAAAAAAAAAAGATTAATTTCTTACATTATTCCATTAGGCATCTGCGTTTGTCTATAATCTACAAAGGATTTGCTTTGCTGTTCTCGTGAAAGGCCCTCCATTTCTTAACACCTCAAGTGGAACAGTTATAGGGACATGACCTCCTAACCACATGAGGCCAGAAGAACAATGTGTTTGCCTCGGTCCGAGGTGCCAGAAAGGGGCCGAAAAAGCCTTAGAAACCCATGCCTCATACATTCTCAGAGAGACAATGCACCTAGGAACCAATGAACCATTCTGTAGCTTAACCGACTAGGTTCAGTCACCATCTGGAATGCCTCCGGGGGCCAGGTGGGCCTAGGGGTTGAAGTCACCTGTGCCCAGAGATACACTCCTTAGTTGCCGGAGTGAGGCTTTCAGATCCGTATGTCTCTCCTTACAGGCCCTCTTTGCTGGCAAATGCATGAGGCTATCCTTCCTGCAAGTAGAGGAGTCTCCATAGGGGATAGCAAGGGCTAACCGTAAGGCCAGACAATTTCTTGCGGAACCTTAATTTCTTCCCTAATGGTTCTTTTCCCAGGGGGGCTGCCGAGCGCAATTCCCCAACAGACAATACCCCAGGTACTTTTAAGGCCAAGTTACATAAAAGCAGGAGTACAAGAAGCTTCACTGTCGGCGGGCCACCCTGCAGTCACCAATCCGTCCACAGCCCGGGGCCTGCCACGCAGGCTGGGAGAGCTCGGCTTCCAGCACTCAGTTGTGAGCATTCTATGGCGTTGTATTTCTTTATGCCTTGTTAGCCCCTTGGTGTCAGCCCGGGAGACTCCTATGCTTATGCCCCACAGTGAACATCTTCTTTTGTCATCAATAAGAAAACAAAACATGAGCCTGTTAACAACTAGTGGGTGACGCCATGAAACTTACATTCTAGCTTCTATTTTCCAGTGTGGAGTCTGGGTGGAAGATACTTTCTCACTTCAAGGAGATTGAAGAAGTCTGACTGTGCACTGTAGACAGGGACAGCCCTAACAATGGACTACAGAGAGGAATGTGAGAAATGAAGGATCACAGGGTGTCTGACTTGGGATGCCCTGAAGAGAGTCTCATACATTCACAGCGAGAGCAGCCATCACGGCCATGTGCACCTGTAGCCAGTCAGCTGGGGGACTCAGCTGGAGAGGGAGCAGTATGTGGATTTGATGGGGTGGGTGGTCAGTGAGGCGGGTGGGACTAAACCTCGAGGGGTATTTGGGATGGATTGTGATCATGCTAATGATGACCCAGGATTTTAAGAAAGTGAGGAGGGCAGGGAGTCTAAGGAAGTGAAGAAACCAGCAGGAAAAGGGAGAGAGAAAATGCCATTTCTTCCATGTCATAAGGATCCTCTCACCCACCCTCATATTGGACAAGAGGGAGTGGTATCTGTCTCACCAGGCCTCCTGCCTTGTCTCCTTGACACCAAAGGAGAAGGAGAAATAAATCAGTTGCGATAATAGCCAAAGTATTAAATGACAGCTGAGGGGCCCCTGGGTGGCTCCGTCAGTTAAATATGTGACTTCGGTTCAGGTCATGATCTCATGGCTACTGAGTTCAAGTGCCATGTCGGGCTCTCTGCTGACACCTCGGAGCCTCCAGCCTGCTTCCCATTCTGTCTCCCTCTCTCTCTGCCCTTCCCTCACTTGGGTTCCATCTGTCTCTGTCTCAAATATGTATAAACATTAAAAAAATTAAAAAAGAAAGACCGATGAAAGCGTCTCCCTCACTCTCTCAGGTAGGATGAATTCTCTTCCACTTCCTGCACAGCTCAAGACCTATTTGTGCTCATGGAAAAGAATGAACGAGTATATGAATGAGAGTGAGAAAAGTTTTCAGAGAACAAAATATAGAAGAGTACATCTTCAGTTTGGTAAAGAAAACTATAAAACACCTTCCCTTCGGTGAACACACACGGAGGGGAAGCACTGAAAGCTTTCCCACCTCGGGTAGGGAGCAAGGCCACCATGTCCTATGTCAACACTGCTGTTCCACATAGGACTGGATGTGTCTGTCAGAACCATAAGGCAAGACAAACAATGAGGCATTCAGATGAAGAAGAACAAGAGACAATTGTCCCATTTCAGGTGAGAGAATGACCTACAGGAAAACTACAAAGGAAGCTACAATGAAGTATGCAAATATATAAATTCAAAGAGTCATAAATAATTTTGGAAACATTTTAGAATAAAGATCA